TTCTTACCACGAAACTGTTGTTAGCATTTCCTGATTTTAATAGAATATTCAAAATTAGCACGGATGAAAGTGAGGTCACTATCGGGGCGGTTCTATCACAGAATTTCAAAGAAGGTGAAAAACCCATAGCATACGCGGGCAGGAAACTAAACGATGCTGAAAGACGATACAGCGGTATCGAACGAGAACTTCTAGCAGTAGTGTGGGCGGTAGAACATTTTCGTCCATAAGTACACGGGAGACGGTTCGAGTTGTTAACTGACCACAAACCTCTAATATACCTAGGTACACTTAAAGAATCGTCAGCACGGGTATCGCGATGGAAAGAACGTCTTGCTGCATATAACTCCAATATGGTGCACAAAAAAGGAGTCGAAAATGTCGTGGCCGATTGGTTATCACGTGATTTAATAGTGAATGCAATCGAGGAAGAAAATACTCCCGTGGAACCGTTAGCATTAAGATCGCGAGAATGGACGCAAAGTGAGCCCGAAGGCTCACCAGTTGACAGTGAATCGGAGGAAAACGTCATCTCGACAGATAGACTCCAGGAACTACCTGAAATAAATGGATGGATAAATGGAAGATTGTCAATGATAAGAAACTTCAGATAATCATTAAGTCAAAGCAGGATTCTGGGACGGAAACACGGAGGAGCGTGTATGAGGGTTTGGAAACTATAATAGTCCGTACGCCTGCAACAATAGACGAAGCCGAACTGGAACGAATCTTCGCGGAATTCAGCAAACCCGGCCGCAACTGTTACGTGTATTTAGGAAATCGGACAATCATGGACAAATTAAAGAGGTTGTGGAGGCAGGAAAGAGTAGGAATGGGGTATCCCTTAATTCGATGTTTAAGACAAGTGGAGACGATCACCGATCCAGTTGCGTAATTAAAACTTGTTACTGAACATCACACGGGGAAAGTGAACCATAGGGGAATAGAAGAGACACTGCGTGTGTTAAAATGATTATACCACTGGAAGAATATGGGCCGAACCGTACGTGAGTGTATTACGCAGTGCGAAGTATGCCAGCGAGCAATGTATGATCGCCAACCCCCGGTAGCACAGCAGGTAGCCACACCCACCGCGACTGAACCACTGCGATCAGTACAAATTGATATCTATTCAAATGAAGGCCAATCGTGGTTAACGGCGATAAATACGTTCAGCAAAATCGCAATGGCCTACCCCATCGAAGCGAAAACAGGGCAATATCGTATCGGATTGCGGAAGAGAATTTGATAATTCACTAATTCGGGACGAAAGCATAACGTTGGGTATCACGTGACGGTTGAACACTCCGCATCATATTAAGGGTAGAGGCATTGTGGAACGACTACATAACACTTTAGGGGAACACCTTAGGTTATTCAAATTGGGACGAAATCTTGACCCATACGATGCTATGCCGCACGTGGTGATCGCATATAATAACACGATACACGCAGCGACGGGGTTTTCCCCCGTTGAAATCGTTTTTGGCCAAAGACGGCGGGACAGAGGCGACTTAATCACGGTCAATAGTACTGACCTAAAGGCGAATCTATACAGGGCGAGAATAGATCGCCAAGGAACGTGGGCGAAGATTAGAGAAAGGTTGATCCACAAAAAAACAGACTCGAGTAGATAGAGCGAATAACCGATCTGTAGTTTATAAGAAAGGTCCGTTGGCGCTGGGTACTGTTGTATATAGGCGATTAAGAACCGCTAGGAATAAAACAGCTGCGCGTTATGAGGGTCCCTATAAAGTGATAACAATAAGAGAAAATAATTTTTTTACCATCCGGGACGTAAAATATACATTTCGGTCACGAACGGTTCACTTAGAAGAACTCCGCGTACCCCATATAGTGTCGGAACTCGAGCTGGGCGGTTACGCTCAGCAGAAGACGTCACGATACTAAGAATATATTATTTTTACGTGTAATTAAGAATAGTTGCAATTATTGTGAGAGTCAATAATTGAAACATTCAGATTTATTTTGTAAACTTATTTGTGATTCTTCTATTAATTATAAGAGTATTATGTTTAGAATAATTTATAGACTAAGAATTGGACATTGCTGTTTCTATTGCAAAGTAAGTGATATCATTAAGATCAGTGTAACCTTTTTATTCTTTTTTTTTTGTTACAAATAATTTTTATTATTAAGTTAAGTGTTAACCTTACTTTATTTTTTTTTTCTTTTGCTAATATTTTTTTTTAGTTCCTCCATACGAAGGAACTGGAAGGAGGGAGTTAATTGTATATAGGATGCACATAAGATTATTTTAAGATAAGCTAAATAATTATTAAAAAACACAGGTTTATATAGAGAATTGATAGATAACAAAAATGTGAAGTTATAAGAGTGTTGTTTTAATACAGTGTAGAAAACTTATATAAAATGAAGCCACTTCAATTCCACAAGCTGTGTTGTTATTTCTGCAGTCGAATCATAACTTATATATATATATATATATATATATATATATATATATATATATATATATATATATATATATATATTATATATATATATAAAATAGTGTTTAAACAGAAAACATCCTCGCAATGAAATAAAAATGAATATCTGACCTTACTGATACCTTTGTCGGATTACAATGAATTAGAGGCACTTAATTATTTATTATAATTAAATAAATGATTAAAATATACATTAGTAAAAGAAAAAAGGTTAGTGACGAAAAAACTTTTATTGAAACTGAATTTTTATTTTTTTTTCTCCTTTATTAAGTTATCAAAAGTTATATTTAGCATTTTTAAAATAATAAACTAAATAATAATAAAATAAACCATATTAGAGGTACTTTAGAGGAAGACGTATATGAACATTGGGAATTTAAGTCCTGTAAAGTGACATTAATGGGGATAAATCCTAATTGATATTAAAGACGACTTAATTAAACAATGATACACAGAGTTTAATCCAAATCGTTAGAGCCGTTTTTGAGAAAATTGTGAAAATGTGTTTCAGCGTTGATATAAAGTGGCACTTCCGGTTAACCGATTTTAAGAAAGATGTTGCTGTCTCATTTAAGGTATATACCTATCTTAAATACGTAATATCAATTTCGTACGACTTTTCGTTTTTGAACTGCTAACGTACAAACACACAGACCATTTTTCGGGACTTGGTCATTTCGACTTGGGGTACCTCAAAACGTGTATTTCCGTTGAAAACTCGGATTCGAAAAATTTCTCGATCGTATGCTATATATTACATATATACGTAAGTGAAAGTAAAGAAAATTACTAAATGTTTAAAATAATTAATTTTAGCCCATGAATAAAGTAACTATGTTAGATCAGTATTGAATAAAATAAAATTCAAATATTACATAATATATAATATTTTGTCAAATAAATTAAATCTTTTTAATTCGAGAGAAAGAGATGACGTCATCGCCCGAGGGCACCGAATGTCGCCCTTGCTTCAACTTTCTTAAAAGCCATGAAAAACATTTCGCTTCGACTTCACAGTTTTCTGCTATTGTTAATAATAAAACAACTTCAATTTGTTGTATCCTTAAGTAAAAACATTATCAAGATCACTAAAGGCCATTCACAAATGTTATCTGCTGCTCTTGTAAATCTTTAAGACATTTTTAGTTTATAAATATTTTCTTTGTGTGACAGAATGTAACATTATTCAATAAAAAATAGTAATAATAGGAGGTTTTTCTATATATTTTAATTATTTTTCAGATGTACTGTATGTATCGTAAAAACAAGACACATTTTTATTTTATTTTATTTAATCATGAAATTTACAACTGTAGAAATTAAAAATACATCCAGTAAAAGTGCAAAAGATAATAATACAATCACATGAAAACGCATGTTGAGAAACTACCCATTGGTAGCACTCTAATAATATATTTGTATAAGTAGATCACGGGGCCATCTTCTTTTCAGACGCCTCGGATGATTATCAGAAATTGAAGAGGAAGCAAGGTCAGAAACGAGTGAGTTGGGATGCTTCTGAAGTTTATTATGGAAGGATAGGTATCTGGATTGGGCTAATTCTGAATGATATGGTTATGAATGATTTTATTTGTGACAAAGTAAAGAGCATTGAGGATTTTACGAAGAGTTTTGGATTGTAAGGATTGGATACGAGAAGAAGTCGATGGTTTAATGGAGTCCCAAAGCTTAATTCCGTAAGTCCAGATTGGCCTTATTATAGTCATGTATATGAGTCTATAGACAGGTGGATCTACGGGGGGGGCTTCCGGTCTGAAGCCCTCCCCCCAAAATGAAAAATATAACCATGTTATATAGAAAAAAATATTAAAAATATCTCTTAAAGGATTATTGTTCATGCAATTATATTTAATAAAACTTCAAGAACCACTTAAACACTATTTCATATAGGTATTTAATTTCTTTCCCTTTTTTAAAAAATTAATTATCATTATATATATGAAAAAAAGCCTCCGTGCTGAAGTCCCCTCCCTCCAAAATTAAATCCTAGATCCGCTAGTGGTCTTTTGTAATAAGATATAGGACATTTGGAGCGTTTGTGTAGTAAGTGCTGGAGTAGTCTAAAACGTCGAGCAGTTTCTTGTCATTTCGTCTTGTATGAGGATTCCAAGTGAGTCGTTTGTTCAGATGGAGTCCTAGGTATCGGATTTGTTCAACAGGGATAAGTGGGGAATTGTTAAAGGATACTGTAGTACAGGAAGTTATAGGTTGACGTCGAAAGAAGACACTTGACTTATATTTTTTTAATTTAATAATTTATTATAAACTTACCCGGAAACTTGAGATTTCAAAACAAATTCGTAATTTCATTGAAGAAAAATAAAATTGTGTTGTCTAATCCCTAGAGCGTATGTATGAAGTACGCATACACATTACTCCTGTTCTACAGATTGTTCGTGAAATATTGTTATAACTTTTTGGTTAAAATATTTTGCAGTAAACCAAACCATGCATGGATTCAAGGATCATTTTCTATAAGGTTAAAGTAGGGATAAAAACAAAAACTTGATAAAAAATTGTTTTATTTACATAACTGAACAAACGCGAACGATATTTATAAACATACATTTACATAGACCATCGCACATATATTTAGTGAAATTGTGTCTCTATACATAGTTTATTTTACAACAAAAACAATTGGCTATTGTTATATGTTTGATCAAATTTCAGATCATTGTCCAGAAATGAAACAATTTTAGTATATCATCCTAAAAAGCATTTACATCTCAGCTCAGGTACATTCTGGCCAGGGCACCAGCATCAGGTTCGTTACATAAATATTTAATTACTACATAATAATTAAATATAGTTCATCTACAATTATAACTGGAAAAAAAATTGAAAAGTTCGCGTAAATTTAAAATTATAAAATGAAATAGCTCTATATAACAAATACCCTACTAAACTATTGAATAATAGATACATACCTTTTGTTGAACTAACCTGTGCATTTGCCATTAATCATGATACTGAAGTGGAGGGGAGAGGATATAGAGAGCTGTCCAACTATAATAAGAAACTATAATCAAAATAATAAATATTTCAGATCCATCAAAAGCCATTTATATATTATTTAAAAAAAGAACTATTTAAATGGCTTGTTTGCGAAAATTTGTATTTAACTTGGAAATGATATGGTAAAAAATCCATGATGTTATTAACCGCAGCTGGCACTGAAAGGAATTAAATCCTAAATCATAATACTGGTGCATAAGTTATTTCAACAAGGAGAAAGTAAAAAAAGCAATAAATAGTATGAATGCAATCAGAATGGTCCTGAAATATGGAGGATTACAAATTTAGGTTCTAGACACAGGCGGATCTACGCGGTGGAGGAGAGGGAGGTATTAGGGGGTATTCTTTTGGGCTAACCCTTACTATATATTACATATACACGTAAGTGAAAGTAATAATAAACCAAAAATATTTTAAAATCACGATATCTCTTCTAATAGTGCTTAGATTTCGATGAAACTTCTTTCATTTTTTAGGCAATTTAAATACCTTTGAAACATGTTGTCACAATATCGACAAAAAAGTGTATACTTTTTGACTATAATTATTCGGAATTTAATTATACCATCCCTCGTAACTTTTTTCCCAGCTTCTTTTCGTTGAAGTATGTTATATAGATAAATTTAAATGGTGTCGAGAAAATGACTTTAGCGAAGTTTCATTGAAATCGGTACATTCGTTTAGGTGCTACAGTCTATAGCAACGAAGGTTTTTCTGCATTTTTATTTTTTTTCTCCTTTATTAAGTTATCAAATTCTTTCAAAAGTTATATTTAGCATTTTTTCCTAACTCTGAATAATGTGAAATGATCAAGTTTTTAAAAATAAATCTTATTAAAGTTACTTTAAAGGAAGACGTATATGAACATTGGGAATTTAAGGCTGAAGCCACCCCCCCCCCTCAAAATTGTAAAATATTATCATATCTTATGAAAAAGTGGGCGGGGTGGCCGAATGGGCCAACGCGTTGTGCACAGCTCCACGGTTGCCCGGCAACCTGATATATGACAAATGTTATAAAAATAGTCACGAGTTCGCGTCCCGGTGCCAAGGCGTCTTTTAAATATCCGCCCATACTCCCTGGCCCGGGAAAACCCCGTATAGCCTTAACGGCGAGGAAGAGGAGGACCCAAAAAAAAAGAAAGAAATATCTTATGAAGAAAATAATCGCTACAAGTATTGTTCTTGTAATTACATTTAATAGGAATTCAAGAATCACTTAAACCCCACTTCGAACAGGTAGTTACTTTTTTTCTTTTTCCTCCAAATTAATTATCGTTATATTAAAAAAAAATCTTTCGGCCTGAAGCTTCACCGAAAATGAAATTCTGGATCCGATAGTGGTTCTAGAAAAGATTAAAAGAGCACCCTTCATTCTGGATTTGCAGATTTTAAGCATTAATTCAGTTAATTAAATAGTTCTGGGATTGGAGTGGGAGAAGGGGGTGTCAGGCCAGAAATGAAAATAAAAGTATCAAAACGTCGCTTAAAGATTTCTTTCCCTCCCCCAATTAACGAATAAAAGTACATAACGAGAAAATATACTTTAGGAACAATATTATTAGTCAAGATCAGTAGATAAATAGTAACTTGGCCGTTTTAAATAGGAATCAAAAACCCGATGATTGGAAATCTCGAATCCTAACATGAGTAACGACTATTGCCGCGGGTACAATTTAAGAAAAATAATCAGACAAAACAACCTCTATCTCACTGTTTATATTTTACACATATTGTGTTAACAATCAAAAGGAACATCGATTAACTGATGAATCAGCGAAAAAAGAAAGGAGAAAGTAAAAGGTGGTGACAATCCTCGACAAATAAATTTGTTGAACAGACTTCAGATTGAAGAAGGAAATATTTGTGATGGGACGAGGTGTAGGGAATACCTAACGAACATTATGGAACAATTTATAGTCATCTAATCTATCGATGGTTGGAACGGTTACCGTTGGATCTCTTAACCGCTCCAGTTTATATGTAAGTATAACTTGTAGTGGAGCTGTAAAAGATTAAAATTTTAAATGCGAAACTGGTTATCTTATCTGATATTATTAAAATTGCAAATACTTAGTGAACTTTTAAAATTAATATTCTATTTTTCTGTCATAAAAAATCAGGACAGTTTGATTTTAAATAAATCCTTTCAACTGTTTCAATATCACTTAAGATGATTCATAATCTTTTTTGGCCTAGAGTATTGTATTTATGTATTTTAACAGTATTAACAACATTCTTGATAATTTGATAAAAAATGACGATGTTGAATATAATCGGACTGGAAGGGAATCTTACTTCTACAGCAAAAAATAATAACGGTAAACATTAATTGTTAAAAGGAACCGTTAATGCAAAAGTATCAATGATTTATGTTCCTAAATCCTATAATTTTCAGTCTGCGTTAAAAGTGACAGAGTAACAGTAAACTGGAATCATTAAACGATCCAATGGTATCGTTCTAACTAAGATCAGGTTCCGTTTAACTGTTCAAACAGTTCCACAACTTCTTTACTTCCTGACATCTTCATCACAACTACAAGTTCGTATTATTAGTAGAGCTGGAACCGCTGAGTTAACCGTTCCATTAGATGGATGAAGTTACCGTTCCAGTTACCGGGAACAGTTAGAGGGGAGGTGGTGGTAGCCGTGGTAAGGGGGAGGCGGCAAGGGTAGCCCCGCCCCCGGCCAGCAGGGCGCCGGTTCGTTCTGGCAGGCCGCCATCAGCCCCTGGAAGTCGAACTTGTAGGCGTACCTCTTCCCCTGCACCTTCGTCATGATGTTCTTGTCGTAATAGTACCTGCAACATCAACTTATTACTAATGGATAGTTATTTATCATACCTATTTCTGATCTGCAATGCTCAAAAATATGATGTTCCAACTAATAATTTCGCCCTCTATTGCTATCACTAGTTTTAGGAAGGAGCATAGTTCGATATATCTAAAGAAACTACGAAAGAGTTTGGGATCTAAATGGTAAAACGATATGAAATATACACTGACAGGCAAAAAATTCCACCCACTTGATTTTTTCATCTAAAAATATTTCTGCTTTGGATTGGTCTATTGTTTTTAATGAATAAATAGGTAATCTTTCTGTTTGTTTTCAATTAGGAATGTTAATATAAAGGACAATAACCCTTAATCCAATGAAATGATTCTAGATTCCAATGTTTAATTTCTATGGAATCAAAATGTTAATTCAGTATCATTAGTTCAGTGCCGTTTCTTGCAGCACATTTCTTAGTCTCCGGCTTTTAATTTTTTCAATATTAAGTTTAAAAATGCCTCTTAGTGCTGAGGATGTTGCCAGTGGTGTGGCACTTATTGATGATGGACGTTCCATTAGATATACAGCTAATGCCATCGGAGTTCCACATGAAACTTTACGAGACGCCGTCAGGCGTTTTCGGGAAGTGTTTCTTGCAATAGAAGGCCCGGTTCTGGACGGCTAGGGTAACAGAACCACGCGATGACCGGTTTTTGACTTTGAGAATTTTACGAAACCGGCACCTTACCGTTGTTCAAGCGATTCATCATCTCGAAGAAGTTCGATGTGTGCAAATTTCTGAACGTACCGCTCGGAGAAGATTAAATGAGTATGGATTAATGGCTTTTCGTCCAGTAAGAGGACCAGAACTCACAGAGTAACACGGCAGGCTTTTGCTCGAGAACACAGCCATTGGACTATGGACGAATGGAGTGCTGCACTTTTTATAGATGAGTCAAGATTCGCTCTTCGATCTCCAGACGGGCGTGAAAGGGTGTGGAGAAGAAGAAACGAAAGATATGCAGCCTGTAATTTTCCCCAGAGCCAACCTTTCCAACGTGGTTCCTTAATGGGTAACAAGTGAGTGGAATTTTTTGCCTGTCAGTGTATATCAACTCGCCACTCTTCCGTCGGATTCCAAGTTGCAGCGAAAGGATGATTCCTCAGGAACGGTGGCCCGATTATAGGAGACCAAAGAGGAGTTCTGAAGAATTAATTACAAGATGTTAGCATCCCTGTCGAGAAGTATTAGAAGTACCAACGTTGACGAACTAAAAACTACTGCTAGTCCTCTCTGTCAGAAATACGACAGAATCAGAAACAACAGCACATCGGCTGTGGAGACTAGTAACCTTTATTTTCTCCTATGCGGCCATTTAAGGCATGCATTGTCGTTATCCCACCGGCAATGAACCTATAATGAGTGGAGAAGCCGAATTTCATTGTGTTGAGTTTATGTATGAATCACATCCTTCCCTCTACCAGACATCGCATATTCAAGAATACGATAACGAGGATCCTTAGATATTGAAAAAGTACTTTCCCCCCTTAAATGAGGACTATTTTTCAATCTTCAACCCTTCAATAAAAACGTATGGATGGAGGTCCACTTCCACTCCAAACATATTTTATTATTCATCTTTTCTTAACTACTGCAGCACTTACTAGACAAACGCTCTAAGCTTTCAATCAATTACAAACGACTCATATATATGACAATAATAAGACCTATTTGGACTTAAGGAATTGAGCTTTGGGGCTCCATTAAACCATCAAATTCCTCTCATATCCAATCCTTACAATCCAAAATCCTTCGTAAAATCCTCAACGCTCCTTACTTTGTCACAAATAAAATCATCCATAAAGGCCTTAATGTTCCATATTTTTCCGATTTGGCCCAATCCAGATACCTATCCTTCCATAACAAACTGCAGAACCATCCGAATCCTCTCGTTTCAAACTTTGCTTCCTCCTCGATCCCTGATAACCCTCCGAGGCGTCTGAAAAGAAGATGGCCTCGGGACCTTCTAATATAGAACTTTAATTTGAGTTCTACCAATGGGTAGTTTCTCTTCATGTTGTACATGTCATGTTAACAATGTCACATTTACTTGTTGTATTTTTCATGTAATACAGTTGTAAATTTCATTAAAATAAATTTTAAAAATAAAAAAATCTTTTCTTAAATACAGAGGAAGCGAAGAAAGAATTAGAAACATCGTAGTTAATATACAATTACACTTGGTGCGATCTGTTTTATGTTGTTCCCTTGTCCCTTAATATGAAATTTTTTATTTCAAAAATTCATAACCTCCCCGCCCCCCCCAAAAAATATGCGGGTATCAACATATCAATAATGTTGATGGTCCAAGTTGCAACCCTGCTGTGGAGTTTTAGGGAAAGAGCATTATGTGTGACATATATACATATAAAGAACAACCTTTGCCGAATTCTGGATTCCTTACGCTAACGAAGCACAATGGACGTAAGTAGACCATAGTTCTGGGACGAAAATGAGACCTGCAGAAAAATCGTCGAATACCATCTTATTTCAAAAAGATTCTCACATTATTCTTCTTAAATATTCAGGATTTTAACTCTATTATATTACAGAAAATCGGTAAAGATATTATCATTATCATGCTATTGTTTTTACTATTGTATTGTTTTACTATCGTACTGAAAGTTTTTTTTTTTTTCTAAATACCCTAAAACAGATTTAAAATAGAAAAAAACTAAGGTATGTGTGCTTTGGACCACACGATAGAAGTGAAAACATCAAGGCGAGATTAAATTATAAATAATAGCGCAATATGAAGAAGATGAAATGCTGAACATTTCCCCTCGTTCACAGTATGCAGATCCGATTTTTAATTTCTGAGACATTTTAATTTTTATCTTCAAAAAAACTCTTTATCATTTGGTTTTCGACACAATTTGTTACCTTTTCGCAACTCTAACACGGCGTAGCGTTAAGATATAATTTTGAATAATAGCTCAGTAGAAAGGGGATGAAATAATGAAAATTAACTCCCACTAACATTATGCAGTTCCAATTTTTAGTTTTTGAGATATTTTAATCCATATGCAAAAACACTTTAATTAGTCTGCTCTAGGTGGCTTTACCCGAGCGTTACAAGTCTAATTTATGCTTCACAAAAAAGTGCAAAACGCGCCTAGAGTTATCACTTCAAAAATCCCGTAGCAGGTATAGATTGCTAGTATCTAGTTTTGTAGTATAGCTGGTCAGAAATAGGTATTTAAATTAATGATAATCTGAAATACTACTCTATAATACACTAATCACTACAATACAGTACTGATGTCAATATTACCTGAGGGCTCTGCTCAGCTTGTCATAATTCATGTTGGGCTTGGACTTCCTCTCGCCCCACCTCCTAGCCACTTCGTCGGGATCCGTCAGCTTGAACTCGCCGTTGGTTCCCTCCCAGGCGATGCAGGCGTTGCTCGAGTCCGCAAGCAGCTCGAGGAGGAACTGCCACAGCTGGATCTGACCGGATCCTTGTCCCCCCAATCGTCCGCCGGAGACCAAGTCGTAGGGGTCTGTAAGGAAATGAGGTAATAACTTCCAATGCACAATGCACGTCATCCATAATGGGAACAGTTTTATCATCTGAGTAAATAATGTGATATGTCGAACCGGTAGAAGATTCTTTAGAAAAATAATGATAATAGCCATTACTAGTTTTAAAAAAAAAATCTTTTTTCTTAACTCTCCGTAATATAATCTATTGTTTTAGATTTCTTTATTGAGTAATATTACATTTTGTCTCAGTTAAGGACATTAATAACAGTTAAAGAGTAGCTCATTCACACTCTATGTACAACTAATAAAATAAATTAAATAAACAGAAAAATAATAATACTTAAAATAAATAAATAAATAAATAAATATATATATATATATATATATATATATATATATATATATATATATATAGATAGATAGATAGATAGATAGATAGATAGATAGATAGATAGATAGATAGATCGAAAGTAAACTTTATTCTGGAACGAGGTCCCTTATGAATAATAGATATGAACAAAAAAATAAAAACTACATGTGGCCAAAAATTACATTAGTCAATATTAAAGAATATATAAAAGTATCTTCAGTAAAATTATATTAAAACAAGTAAAAATAACACCATTTTGAAAAAAAAACAAAATAAAAAAAACATTATTTAAATGAAAATAAAATAAAATAAAATAAACATGGGTCGATTTTTAAAATTAAAACTCTATAGACTGCTACCAATGGGTAGTTTCTCAACATGTGTTTCATGTCTTTATATCCATGTGCGAATTTACCAGATGCATTTACAGTTGTAAATATCTTATATATAAATTAAAAAAAAAAAAACTATCAATTTTAACAACCATTCACTTCAGTCAAAATCTGTTTCACAATATTTATTTCATTGTATAACGTTATTTTGGGATGTCAGAAGGAATTGGTAGAGATGATATTTAAATGGGGACAAGGAAGAGGTATGGCGGATATCAGATGGCAAGGAATTCCAGAAGGCAGTAGATCGGGCAATGGAATATTCAAACGTCTTAGTTCTATGGGAAGGGGTATAAAGGTCGGAAACACGGGATCTTGTTTTCTGGGAATGGAAATATATAAACAAAATGATAGTTAAACTAATCAGAATAATAACTTAAAAGCGTTCATACTTATATACAAACATTCATTTAGGTCACGGGCGGATTTCCGAGGGTGAGGGGGAGGGCTTTCGGGCTGAAGTTCCCCCCAAAATGATAAAATATAACCATGTTTTATGGAAAAAAATTATCTCTTAAAGTATTGTTCGTGTAATTATATTTAAAAGGACTTAAGGAATAAAATAAACACCATTTCATATAGCTAGTTAGTTTGTTTCATTTTTCGAAAGTAATTATCGTCATTTTTATGAAAAAAAAGCTTTCGAGCTGAAGCCCCTCCTCCCCCAAAATTACATCCTGGATCCACCAATGATTCAGGTGAACTTCAAACCGAGCTTTCTCCCCATAAATGGAAGAAAAAGCAGAACTCTAGGAGATCTCAGTTCCTCTCTCTCAGCAGCGTCACTGGTATTAAAGATCAATGGAGGCTCAGAAGAGGGGCTTTAACCACAGGCGTACATGGCGTAAGTGAAAAATCTGACCATTGTCGGAACTTCAATATATGCATATTTACGAATGGTTTCGTCTGCCGTTTCAACCTTTAAGGAGGACTGTAGGGACTAGACAGGGATTGTGGAAGGGGATTTTGATGATATATTTCCATCTATCCTCCCTTTTTCCCTATCTTTATCAAGGACCTTCCGTCCTCTATTCTGCACTGTCAATACCACCTGTATGCCGATGACGTCCAAATTTACCTTTCCTTCGATCCGGTTGACTCCACTGCAGCAATCCCACAACTTCAAGAAGATAGACAGAATCTATGCATGGGAAAACCGCAATAGGCTCACCCTAAACGCCGAGAAGACGAAGCTATCCTTATCGAATCCCCCGCACACATAAAATCCAATCCTGTACCTTCCAATCTTTTCCTAAACAACTCGTTCCAAATTTCCGTTAAAAACCTTGTTGTTATTTTTGATCAAACCCTCTCCTGGAAACCACACATCTCCCAAATTTCCCGTCGTACCCTGAAACAGTTTAACCGTCAAAGCTATCTCCTTCCATACAAAACCCATCAACTCCTGGTTTCCTCCCTTGTTTTTCCCCAATTCGACTAAGGTTGTATGGTGAACTTTCGGGAGGGTTCTAAGACAAACATAATTCTATAAATGAACTGCAAACATTTTAGCCTATTTTTAAGAATACATGCATATCTAAAACGCTGCAAATTATTTCACAATGGTTTATTATTTCCAAACAATTATACATCTAAAGTAACATTACCTTCCGAGTTACAAAGAAAAAAAAACAAAAGGTGATTCCAATTATTGGACTAAACTGTTTTTCTTTAATCATTAGTAATATGCTAAAAAAAAATAGCATTAGTTCAGTAACACATTTAAAATTTAAAAACCAAACCAAGGATATAACATTTGGAGTAGAACACATAAAAAAAACCGGAGACCATATCTTTGCTCCTAATTGTCCGATTTTAACGATTTTTTTTTTTTTAGGAAATTTCGTAAACTTTTAAAAAACCTATACAATATCAACAAAAAAGTAAAAACTTTTCGAGTTATTCGGAATTTAATTTTACCATCCCTCGTAACTTTTTTCCAGCTTCTTTTCGTTGAAGTATGTTATATAGATAAATTTAAAGGGCGTCGAGAAAATGACTTTAGCGAAGTTTCATTGAAATCTGTACATTCGTTTAGGAGCTACAGTCTATAGCAACGCAGGTTTTTCGGCCGCCATTTTGAAAGTTAAAGGCGGAGAGTAATGTCGATGAAGGAGGATCATCCTCGGGTGACCTCTGATTTTATATCAAAATTTGAAAAAAAATCGGTCCAGTAGTTTCGGAGAAAATGCGCGGACGGCGGACGGACAAAAAAATTTTATTCGTTTTTCGAATTCTACGCGTCTTGAAACGTGAAACCTCAAATTTTGAGAGGGGTTATGTTTTTGAATTTTTTGGTCGATCACAATGTTTCATTATTGAAAATAATAAACCAAAATCCCACATAAAACCTAAGAAAAGAATTTAATGATTAAAAAAAATATAAACAATAATTAATAATATAAATTTACTCTACCCTGAAACAGTTTAATGGTTTATGGTAATATGAGTAATCTTAAATTACTTTAGCTCCGATAATAGATTTAAATAATTATATCTTATATATTATTTCTGAAAGGTGTTTTTTGTTTTCGTTACGCCATAACTTCGTCAATTTTTTATCAAATCCAATGATTGACCACTCATTTTGAAGATATTCTGCTTCACATGCGAAAAATAGTACTGTCACCCGAAATTTCTGGACAAAAAGTTATAAATCAAACTTTATCTGCAAATAACTCAAAAAGTATGTATTTTTTCTGATTTGTATCCATGATACTTAAAAAGATTACTAAATTATCTACAAAAAAAAAAAAAATCGGACTATTATTAAAAAAGATTCAGTCCATTAGTTTTGATATAGTTAATAATTTTTTCCTCCTTAAAGATATTGCATTAACTATTCTACTACACTTTTTTCCTGGCTGATATATTATTTCTTAAAGGCATTTCTTTGTTCATACATTTTTTTTTTTTTAATAATTTAGAAAATCCCATGATCGAGGCTTCATTTTGTCTTTATTATCTTTCCAGTCACCTTTTAAAAATAGTTCCTAGCAAAGCAATTTGTACAAATAGTTTGGTCTGTTATGTTAAATGGAATATTGTAATTGATCAAGGAAAAATAATTAATTTCTTCCTCACATAATACATAATATCTGCTTATTTCCATATTGTTTTGCTAATCCCTTACTAAACCAAATTTTCTGCGAATTATTCGCACGGGCCAACTAGTATTAAATATTGAAGATATTAAATAATATTGAACATCATTTAGTAAAAGGGACAAGTCTCCACGATTTTTAATATTTATTCTCTTAGTTCAAGTATATTTAAATGGAAAGCTTAGTTCAAAAATTACTGAAAATAGAACTTTTATGCTTTACAGAAATAAAAATAAAATCAAACCGCTATATAATTATATAATACATATATAAATAACTCATTTTCTATATATCAGTTTTTTTTTTCGCAATTGTTTTCTCATAAAATTAATTTAATGCCCCTAATTTTGATATTTTTTTCTTTTCTGGAGGTTTTGCTTTTTCTTTCTACACATGTAATTCTTTTTTTCTTTTGCCATTTTTTCAGTAATATTATAAGTATAGTTAGGTTTTATCTTATTTTTTAGTAATTTACATACTATTATTTAAGTTGTTGCTTATATTGTTTGAATCTTTATTAAGTTAGTTTTTGGCCAGATATATATTTTTTCTTTTGTAACTGTTTATTATTGTCATTCTAAGGGGACATTGTCCCAGAATAAAGTTTATTTTCTATTTCTATTTCTAGAGTATAAAATCAGGTTACTGATAAAGTTAAATATAAATACTGGAGGCCATGAAAGCTTCCTAACACCATTTTGTTAAATTTCACAATGAAAGTCAAGTAGGAATAAAATGTCCGGGGGTTTGTAAAAAAAAAAGGATAATAATTTTATATATTTTTCCAATACAGACGTTGGATCCACACTATAAGGATTCATCATAACGGAATAGCTGTAGGAACCAAATAGCTCCTCTGTATAAAGTGATACAAATTTAGTTCCTATAGTTTTTACTACATATTGCAATATAAACTATTTACAGCTGAGAGATATCTTTCAAGTCATTCTTTCTATATCGAGCTCCAAGAAGAGATGGACAAATACTATTATGAGTATCGTATACTAAGTATTTTACTCAAATATAATCACTATTGGGAATTCAATCATTACTTCAATTTGAAATCAACTAAACTAGTAATTAAATTATTTAGTACTAAAAAAATACCAGTATTTGAGTGAAATACTTGTTACTCAGTACTCCTAGTATTTGCTCATCTTTGTCTCCAAGGCACAACCCACTATTGATACACTGATTTAGAAAGCTTCTAATTTAAAATTGTCTATGCTTTAATCTTATAGAGTTAACAAAAATATTCCAAAAGTTTAGACCCGAATAAATTATTATCTTCCAAGATTTTCAATAAAGTATAAATATATAGCTTGTTACAACATTAATTTTGTGACTTATTATATACAGTTAAATATATTTTAGGTATTTATGTCGAGCACTGAATATATATATATATTAGGTTTTATTTGTTGAAATAAGCCAAACAATTTCATAAATAAGTATTTTCAACCGACAAGTTATTAATTAATAGATATAGAAATTTCTTATTTTCATAAGAATAATAGGTTGCGTTACTGAACACCGCGGTATTAGTGGAATCAAATTTTTCTTTTTTTAAACAACGTGCTAATGATGAATACAAAAATCAGCTGCGGTAACTTGTGGTTTTGGTAAATATCAGGCTAATTCAGACAAGAAAGCTGTTCAATAATTGGACAAGATTAAATATAATTTATTGGTCTCCGCCACACAAAAAGGAGGAAAAGAATAAAAACAAAGAATATGAGAAGGAACAGATTAAAGGATAATTCAAACGATTTTTGTGACTCAAAATTCATATTGGGAAAATTTATATTTTCAGCTAATTGCCATATATTTTGTTTTATTTTAATTTACTTGTAGGCTGATTTTCTCAACTTCTCTCATAGTTTTTTTTTTTCGAATCTATCTATGTCTTATTGATATTGATATTATATACTCATAATTGATTCAGTACATAACCTTATAAAATGCATTTTCATTTTTATCATTTATCCCATATAAAATATATGTTAATTATTGGTGAACGAATTAAAAATATTCATAATCATGGTTATTACCAACACGGTTTTAGTCTATCATATTCATAAAGCCCGAAATGCTCTTAAAGAATTCCATTTTTTATTTAAATGTATCGCGTAAATCAAAAATTTCTTTTTTGCCGTTTTTATGCTTTTTCAGACTATTGTCACTAGATTTTTATTTTTAATATTCGAATATTATCAGAAAAAGTATCAAATTGATTCCGAATAATATCCGTGAGGGCTGTTTCTCTAATAGAACTAAAAAAATCAAATATATTGTAAAACCTTGAATAATGGTGTCAAAACTGGAGAATTAAATAAATCCCACAAAATTACATTTACCCTTCGTCGTTAACCTATGACTTCCTGCCCTACAGTTTCCTTTAACAATACTCCAGTTATCCCTGTTGAAAAAATCCGTTACCTAGGACTCCACCTGGACAAACGACTAACTTGGAATCTTCATACCAGACTGAAACGACAAGAAACCGCTCACGTTTCCGATTACTTCAGCACTTACTAGACAAAACTCTAAACTTCCAATTAATTACAAAAGACTCATATACATGACTATAATAAGGCCTATTTGGACTTACGGAGTTGAGTTATGGGGCTCCACTAAACCATCGAATTCCTCTCGTATCCAATCCTTACAATCCAAAATCCTTCGTAAAATCCTCAATGCTCCTTACTTTGTTACAAATAAAATCATCCATAATGACCTTAATGTTTCTTATGTTTCAGATCTGGCTCAATCCAGATACCTATCCTTCCATAATAAACTTCAGAATCATCCCAACCCTCTCTAACCTTATCATTCTAACCTTGCTTCCTCTTCAATTCATGATAACCCTCCGTGGCGTCTGAAAAGAAGATGGCCCCGTGATCTCCTAATGTAGATATATTATTAGAGTGCTGCCATTGGGTAGTTTCTCAAAAAGTGTTTTCAAGTCATTATATCTATTATGTCCAAATTTACTTGATGTATTTATGTAATACAGTTGTAAATATCTTTAAGAAATTTAAAAAAAATGTGTTTTAGTAAATTCCCATTCCCATCCCACAGATATTATTACAGTAAGGCTCGAAATAGGTTTTGTAACAAATATAAGCTCCTGTCATGCTCAAATACCACGAATGGGGTACCGTTGGATTCAGAACTTCACGGGGGTTAGCGAATCGTATTCTCCACTTTTGTTTTTCTTTCTAAAATAAATAAAGTTGATACAAACATTTTGCTAGGCTTTAATACTGGAACGGTGGTAGGTCTTTAGATCGAAACGGGTTAAATTGGACCTTGAAGATTTTGATGCATACAATAAAATCGGATTTTGCGTTTTTAAGCCCAAAAATGTACTATTTTGGAGAAAACGCAAGGCATAGGGTTCGCATCCACACAACCTTACGGTAATTGTAGTGCATTAAAACAAACTTTATTTGCGAATAACTAAAAAAGTACACATTTTTCCCTTGGTTATGCCCATGATTACATAAAAGATTACTAAATTCCCTACAAAAGTAAAAAAAAAATCATCGAAATCTATTAGAAATGTTTTCAATAGTCTTTTTTTTTCATTTTATTATTCATTTTTTCTTATTTTCGATTAATATTCATCAGGGGAGTTATATTATAGCCCATTTCATTTGAAAATTTGGCATATTTGGCATACAGCTATAGTATAAGTACGACGTTGAAACAATTTGTACTGACCGAAGGAGGAAAGTGGGTTCAAATATTTTTTTAAGGGAAAACAGAGTTGAGATTTGTATTTCGCCTCTCTATAAAGCTTCAAATACGAATTTTCATAGAAATCAAAAAACATTTTTTTTTAACCAAATCGGAACCAAGCCAAGTTAACATAAAAATAACTCCAGGTATCCTCACGAAAATTTACATTAAGTTAGGACTCAAGAAATGACACAAACCAGACCCCTGGAAATATAATAGAACTAGAGATAACAAAAACTTTTAAAGAGTTTTTCTATATTTGAAAAGATACAGCTTATTGAAATTTCTAAACATGTTGGTTCAGGTTCCAACATTAATGAAGATTTAAATTATTTTTTTGTTTCGTTTGTCGATTAAGTTTATCGATAAAGTAATAATTGACTTCTTTAGCTTTTGATACCTTGCATTATTTTATTTTATTATTAATTTATCATTTGATAACAATACGCTATTTTCCGCACGGGTTATATAATAAATACGCCTGCAACTAAAAATAATAAATAATAAAATATATAATACATAATACATAATACATTTACCGGAGTACAGCGAGGTGAGAGCTGAGAGGCTGGTGGTACTCCAGAGGAGGCGGTGGCGCTCGGACCACATCTCGACCTCTCTCTACCACCCCGGCCGCCCCCATTGCGTCCCCACCCCCCACCACCTTCCCAACCGCCGCTAAGTCCGACTTCTAGCTTTTTTAAGCTGAAACATCTGTCCGGGTAAGTTGGAGGTATAAGTACACACGTAAGTACAGCAACACAAGAAACGTCTGTCACACTAATTTCATATCTTTTAGTCCGTGGTACGGACCACTTTTTATCAAATTATTAACATCCTCCTGAAACTTCGTAAATAGCTTCATCTCAACGTGACCTATAAATATTTTATTTACGAAAATTCTCAGATTTGGGGCGTTAATAAAACCGCAGATCGGAAAACATAGTTACCTTTAATATAATTGTGGGTGAATGGTTGACTGTCGTTAAGAATGAAGAGATGAATAGTTGGGGTGATCAGTCAGAAATAAGATATCATTATATAGTATAATAAAATATAGAAATAGAAAAATCATCTTTATTCTGGGACTAGGTCCCTTTAGAATAACAGTATTGTTCGTATAAATTAACCATAAATTTGGCCAAAAGACCTATTACAATGAATAATAACAAAATACTAGTAATAAATTAAGTGTAATAGCTCTTATTCCAAGAATTTACGAAAATTCTTGGAATCGGGGCGTTTTCAATCTGGAGACCGGCAAACTTTGTCTATTTAATTCGGTACTAAAACTCATGAATAACCATTTGCTTTCTACTTCCATAGTAAGTGATATGATATTGAAATCGAAAAAAAAATGTGACCTACAAAAACGTTGGGGCGTTTGGCCTATATAACCTAGTTATTTTAACTTCAATATTTTAACTCAATCAATATTTTTTAGGCCACCTATTTTTTCGAAATTGTGATTATATTATCTCATGATTCAAGTGGAAAGGAAATTCATGAGTTTTTACTACAGAATTAAATAGACAAAGTTTGCCGATCTCCAGATTGAAAACGCCCCGATTCTAAGAATCTTCATAAATAAAATATTTCTTGGTTACGATGAGATGAAGCTATTTACGAAGTTTCAAGCAGATGTTAATAATTTTATAAAAAGGGATCTGTACCAGGGACTATTACTTTACATCATCAAATAAAACTAAGCGATTGGTGCAAACTTTGGAAAATTCGAATCGAACACAAAAAAAATCCCAACACGTTACTTTCACACTTCGACATGAAACTTGTCCTCCTATTTACCTCGACAATAACCAAATTTCTTAGACAGATGAAGTGCAATATCTTTGACTGACTTTGTCAGAATCACAACCTCTTTTTATCAAATAATTAGCATCCGCCTGAAACCTTGTAAATAGCTCCACGAGGTTTCAGGCTTATGTTAATTATTTGATAAAAAGAGATCTGTACGGACTTAACAATAAATAAATCTAATAATCGAATAAACTTTATTTATTAGATATTATTTTTTTTCTAAAATGTTCCGCTTTCCAACGATAATCATTTCCGGAGATTTATTTTCAACCTGGATCGGCATTTTTCTTTTTTTCTCCAGTTTCTAATTATAATATTCTTTCAAACTTAATATATTGCCATTTTTTATAGTTACTGTCAATAAAAGATAGTTAAAATTTAAAATATAAATATTAAAATAAACCGCATATATATATATGAATAGAATCTGCTCTCGATTCTCGATTGTAATAACAATCCCTTATTTCTCCTTTAGGGTATTTAAGCCCTGTTAAGGGACATCAACGGGGGTAAGACCTAAATGATATTAAAGACCAATTAATTAAACAATGATACACCGAGTTTAATCAAAATCGTTAGGGCCGTTTTTAAGAAAATTGTGAAAATGTGTTGATATAAAGTAGCACTTCCGATTAAGCGAGTTTAAGGAAAAAGTTGCAGTGACATCTAAGGCATATACCTATCTTAAATACGTAATATTACTATATATTTCATATATATGTAAGTGGAAGTAAAAAAAAATTAATAAAACTTAAGAATTACTTCACAACACCATTTCATATAAATATTTAATACCTTTCTTTTTATTCCAAAGAAATTATCGTTTATGGATATGATAAATAATATTGCAATAAATAAACTAATTATAATTTTTAAATATCCTACCCACATATTTAAAAAAGTGGATTTTCGTATGATTTATAAAGTGAAACGTGACTACAGTAAAAACAAAATATTTATGTATATACATATACTTATACATTTCTCTCGAATAAATTACTTTTTAGAATTTTAGTTTGATAATGGTAGTAATACCAAGCAGTATTGAATCCAGGATTTAATGTTGGGGGTCTTCGTTTTTCCTTTTCTTTTTAATAATGGTTATTACTCTGGAAGTAAAAGAAAGAAACTATCTAAGAGGATAAAGTATTTCCTTGAAGAATTGCCTCTCTCTCTCCCCCCCCCCAAAAAAAAAAACAGGAATACTAATGTTTTTTTAAATATAATTTTTCTTAAAATGTGCTTACATTTATTAGTTGAAATATATGTGTTATAATTTAAAAATAGTACATAATTTGATTTTTTAACTATTTAGCTCTTCAGCATTTCACTCACAAAAATAAAAATGGATCAATGAATTATTATTTTTCGATTATATTTGGGGGCTTCAGGCCGAAAGATCTCTCTAGCTCTGCCAATGATACCAAGAATGAGTCATTTATTTATTGACAATCCCATTTCTTTTCCGAAATGGCCATCACTGCATTATGTAAAGATACCTAAATAAACAAACAACAAAGTTTATCAATTTTCTTCAGCTTCATTAGCAATTTTTAAAATATTAATTAATATCGCTAATAGCTGACATATCAAGTAAACAATTCGAGAATACAAAAACACACTAAATGAAAGCGTAAATAGCAAAGAGCTAAGTGTTGCTGTAAGAATTAATTAAGAAGACAAGTGGGAAGGAGAAGAGGAGAGGAGAAGAGGGGAGGGAGAAGAAAGACAATGAGAGGATTTGGCGGGCCCGTGGTGGATGATATACGACCGCGCGCGGGAAATATCGCCCTGTCTCATTATGCCGCCATCTTGGTCCTGCGCCTCCGACCGCCAATAAAACACCGCTTCATATCTTATGAGGTTAGGGTGTGCTGGTGTTAGTACAGGTTTGAGTCCTCCACCCACCCTTAGCCCTCTTTCCCCTCCTACCGCTTTTATTAAAAAAAAAAAATAAACAGGGGAAGAAAAGAAAACCGCCGTAAGAGGGCACTTATCAGGCCTAAGGTGAAAGAATAACATAACATCAAAACATTTTATATCAGTCTGTTATGACTTGAAGTATACGTGCCTCTAAACCGATGCATAGCCTGTTATAAGGAATGTCCTCAGAATAAAAGTTTCATAATAGATAAATGGGAATAACTCTTGTAAAAGGAATACATGTATAGATGGTCTGTATCTTTCATTCTTTCTCTCTCTCTCTCTCTCTCTCTCTCTCTCTCTATTTATATATATATATATATATATATATATATATATATATATAGTGTGGGTTTTTTTCCTGTTGGCTTTAAAGAACTCTTTTAACAGACCTTTTCCGTTTCCATCTCGACCATTCTTGGGATTTTTCTTATCAGTTTTCTATCCTCAACATCTTTGTTAGTTCGGTCTATCCATATGGTTTTTGACCTTCCGCATGGCATCTTACCAACTAACGAGTCTTTAATTCTGTAGAAGCTTCTTCATAGATTGCTCAGCGCTGCATGTCCGACCCATCTTAATCTGCTTGCCTATTTCATAAGATATTGATTAACCATTCGACTTTTCTCACAAATTTTTCGATACTTCATTCTAGGATACTGGTTAGTGATCTCAGGTCTCATAGCTGCATATCATAACTGGATTCAACTCAGCATCGTGGAACCTTCACCAAATTAGATAATTACGATTTTACATCTTTATTGAAATTAATGCCATAAATAGCTACGTATATTTTTGAAATAGCTACGACCATATTTGAATATCTTGCAGATTCCGCTATGTAAAAATGACAACACACCACTTTTAAAAACATAGTTCAACTCAAACATAGTCTGTGGGTTCCGAGAATATCACGTCTAAGCATTCAATACGATATATTATTTAATCTGAGTTCAATGTCAGTCAATCCGACTTGAGTTCAGAATTAACAATTCATAAAAAAAGTAGGGAAATTTGTTTCTTAACTAAGTGTATCTATATGTTTATAAGTTTTTGAGAACCATAGTATCCTTCAGTTCGTATCCTTTCATAATATATAGCTATACCCGGCCACGCGCAGCTGTGGCTTAGCCTGGCAAAATGAAAAAGAAAGAAAATAGCAAGCACATATGAGTAGATGAGTAGATTAGTAGCAAAGGGCATCTGTCATTTTTAAAAAGTTGGGAAACAAATTTGTCTGTAAAATGACTTCAATTTAAACTAATTCTAACGTTTTTTTTTTCTCATGATTCAAATCGAACATTCATAAGTGAAGCCGTCATTCATAATCATCAGAAACAGTCTGAGTTGAACTTATAAAACTAAATTAAAAATTAATATAAAAAAAAGGAATAATAGTATTGACCTACATAAGAAGAATCATATAACTTCTTCAAATGATAATTTAAATTACTGTAGTAATTATAAAATTTTCGATTAATCAATAAAAAAATTAAAAAATGCTTGCCTGCCTTCGGTAGTGAGGAAGCAAAGGAAATGGCCTTTTCTGGAGAGAAAGCAGTAAATCTTTAAAACTCTATAACTCTGCAACGAACCGTCCGATTTCGATGACATATTTTTTATTTTGTCAGCAATTCAGAAATCTTTCATATAAATGGGTATTATCTATCGAAAATTGTGTACTTTTTTTAGTTATCGGCAAATAGAATATTGAATTCATCGTAACATTTTTCAGCTTGTTTTCCGGAAAGTATGTTATACACATAAATAACAAGAGTTTCAAGGAGAAGACTTTGGCCATGTTTCGTTAAAATCGGTAAAGCCGTTTGGGCGCTACAGTTTATAGTGACACATTTTTTTGAGCTTTGGACAGAAAAACATTTACATTTTTATTTTTTTTTACATATATAAAATTATCGTAAGACAGAAGTACTATGCCAGAAACCTTCCCAGGAGTGTACGGAAAAACTTCCCAAAGTTTCATGGCGATCGGATGAATGGTTTAGTAATACACAAAGGACAAACAGACAGACAGACAGACATACATTCATTTATATATATATATATATATATATATATATATATATATATATATATATATATATATATATATATATATATAGACTATTCTCCATAGTATTCTGAGGTATCTGAAAAAGATCTCCTGAGGTAGAATAGCTTTGAAGAACTTTAAATGGCAATCTATTTCAAAAGCTATTGTTATGTTTTATTAATCAAATTTATTCCCTGTATTTCATTAATTCAGCATGACTGTTGTGGCTAAAAGACGTATACCGCACCAATCTAATAGTATATCGTAGTTGTTGTAGTATGTTGTAGTCTGCTAGACAAGAAATGAGACTGAAGAAACTCATGAACTGTTTCCAAGTCCTCAGAACCAAAAACCCTCCCTGCATCTTGGAAGTACTTGCTCTAAGTTTTCTCCAAATACCAGGTCTCAACCTATAGATTTATATATATCCTCTTCCATAAATTCGTGCTGCATCCTTTTGGAAGTCTCTTCCTACCTCCGTACGTCAATCCTCGCCCACAAATTCCTTCAAACAGCCGTAGTTCCACCACTTACTCCACATTCAAACTCCCGCAAACATTTTTAAAAATAAACATTGTAAAATTACTTGCATTTTTATACTGTTTAATTTTAATCTACTGTACAATTGTAATAGCAATCAACAGTTGATTAGTTTATATTTTTATTATTCTAATCCAGACTAAGACCTATAAATTTATAACCCTGTCATTATTTTTAGGGAGCAGTAGTCCCAGAATAAAATTATTTTTTTACATTATCTGTAGTATATTTGTTTCAAAATTTAAATTTCTTCTATTAGGTTAAAATAACAATATGAAATAGAAATTCGCAATGAGGCAATAATAGAAAACATAAGGTAAAAGGATGAAGTGTGAAGTTAGGAGAGGATTAGGTAGCGCTGGTTATTGTTGCGAGAGGATTTACAGTAAATACCCTTACAGTAGCTAGAGAGCAGCACCTCATCTCAAAGTCAGATCTTGGGTCAAACCTTAACACCCTCCCCCCCCCCCTCCCTCACCCCTTCTCTCATACAACTTAATTGAAACAATAATTCCTAACTCACCTAACTTCAGCGCACCTTACTATAATAATCCAATAGACCATCTTGCCTCTTGGACAAGACCCGATTAGTGCACTCACTAATGCCGTGCTAAGAAACAATATCAGTTTATATAAGATTATTAGGTATGTACTAGTAAGTTATTCACAGAATCAGGCGAGAAATAAAAATCATTCAAAATTAAATTCAGAGTCAGAAAGAACGGCGTTTTGCATTTAATAGATAATTAAATCATCTCCAAAGCAATAATTAAATAAAATGAGAAAATTATCAAAGTAGTATCAGTGTTATTCGCAGGTCTCCATGGAAACCTTTAATTTTACAAACTACTCGAAAACTAAACATTTACCTTTTATAATAGGAGAAATATAAGTAAAGATACAAATAATAATTGTTGTATTGGACATTGAAATTAAAGTGGCAAAGAATATGGTTGGAGTGGTCACATCGGATATTTTTGAAAAACATGGCCAACTCAGAGAAGGCGTTTTCAGTAAGAATCATCGTCACCGACCGTGTATTGGAAACTAGCATTTTGAGAAAAAAGAAATTCGGGAAATAGAAGGGGAACTGGGAAGAGATAAGAGATAAGGAATAGAGAGAAAGGCATTGAGAAATGCTGGTCACATAGTAACAGTTACAGAGAAAGAGAGAGAGGGTGAGAGGAGGTAGTCCGAGATAGGAGAGAAGATAATAGAGTCGGCTCGAGGTAATAGAGTGGGATAGAGTGCCCCCGATTACTGCAGTCCTCTGATAACGATGATAACAATCATACATATTTATTTGGCCCCCTCAACCCCCACCCCTTAGTGGTCCCGGTCTTTACCTCTTTCTCAGTCTTCGTCCAATCCAGCCTCATGATTATTGGTATAGATTGACATCAGTCCATTCATTTATTAGAGCATTTACGTTTCGATCTCATTCGTTTTCAAAATATTCTTAACGTAAGACAAGTTTTAATGAACTAGTCTAATGTACCAAGATCATAAAAGACTATTTTCAGTTTTACCAGACATGGAAGATTTAAGAATAAAAAGTCCGTTGTATAGCCAAGCAGTAATTTTTCTTCTTATCCTTCTAGATCTTCTTCAATCTCTTCCGAATACTTGGATCACAAGAAGTAAACTTAGTTCTTGAGAACATTTTTATTTTTTTCACAAGAAGTCAGAGGTAAAAGATTGTTTGGGCACTACGTGGGAAGGTTGATGGCTTCAACCATAAAGTTGACCAAAAGACATTGAAGTGATTAAGGATTATAAGAAGTTAACTTAGCAATTGATAACAATGGAATTATTTATGAGACAACTTGCCTTTTATGAGTTCTAAATATGTACAGATATCAAGACATTGCAGTACATGAACAACTTTTTATTTTTCGTTAAACATTATAACAAGAAATTTGCAAAACTTCCCGACTTTTTCTTATATATATTTGCAAAAAAAACAACAAAAAAAAACTTCTTTTTTTTACAACATGGTAACGCCTGGCTCGTAGCGTTGGGTGTCATCACGTAATAAAAATATTTAGTTTAAAATGCAATAGCTTTTATAAATATATGTTGATAAATAAAAGCTGAAAGACACTTTGACAGTATCATGATTGGCAGTCAAATACGTCACCATACAGTGCACATAGGGCACACCTTAAGTCTTTACCACACCTCTAAAACGGGTTGTTATTTCTATTTTCTACATAAATATTAATATTTTTTCTTTATAATAATTTAAAGATATTTTTTTTATTTTTAGATATTTATTTATTTGAACATATTTATTTATTTCTAGTATTATTTATTTATTTTTAATAATATTTGTTTATTTTTATTTTTCTGTTATATTTATTTTATTATTATTTGTTGCACATTAATTGCCAATGAGCTATTCTACCACTATTACTAATGTCCTTAATGTCATATTATGCATGTAATATTATTGTATATGTAATATTATGCAACAAAGAAATGTTTCTGTTAAAATTAATTATAAATTTCATTCTCAATATGATCCACTTTATAAGCACAAATTCCCTCGATTTTTTATTCCTTTTAGTACACAACTAAACATGTTTTATCCAAACAGAAGCAATAAAGAAAATGGTTAAAAAATATTCTTAAAATTATTCTTATAATTGTCCGACTAGTAGAAAATGGTGTGTGGCTTTTTAATACCGAATTAATTCATAAATTACTTTATATCCGAGATTCTTAAACAGGGCACCATAAAAAGGTTGAAAGACGGAAAAAACTTATTTTCAATTTATAGAAAAAAATATTTTTTTAATATTATCTATCAATATATGGATTAGATATGGATTTACTGACCGATCCATAGTTATGTAAGGATAGATATGTACGGAGTTGATCCGGTAAAAAATTATAATAATAATGTTAATTGTATCTTCAAGTAAGCAATCGAGCTTGTTAAATGTTCCAATCGATGATATAATCTATAGACAATTCCCAATACCCAAAGGATTGGTTATCTAAAACCACTCAATAGAAACAACAGACCCGTTATAAAGGCTTTAGGGAAAATGACAGATTTCGGCCAAATAACCGTTTAGAGAGAACTCATGGATATGGATATCAATTATAATTGATTTAGTCTATAATTATTGACTTTCGGGAAGTTCAGGCCTGCAGATCAGGGCTAAGAAGAAACAGATAACAATGGGTATGAGCAACTATTAACATTAAAAACAAAATAATAATATGTAGGTGAAAGGTATAGTATAAAAAATGTAGGTAAAATAAACTTAAAGTAAAATAAAGTAGGTAGAATAAACTTAAAGTAAAATAAAGTAGGTAAAATAAACTTAAAGGAAATATAAAATAACGATAACAAAGTTAGGGGTAGAAAATAGCGGAAGCAGAGTGAAGCAGGTGAAAGGTATAGTATAAAAAATGTAGGTAGAATAAACTTAAAGTAAAATAAAGTAGGTAGAATAAACTTAAAGTAAAATAAAGTAGGTAAAATAAACTTAAGGAAATAAAATAACGATAACAAAGTTAGGGTAGAAAATAGCGAAGCAGAGTGAAGCAGGTGAAAGTATAGTATAAAAAATGTAGGTAGAATAAACTTAAAGTAAAATAAAGTAGGTAAAATAAACTTAAAGAAAATATAAAATAACGATAACAAAGTTAGGGGTAGAAAATAGCGGAAGCAGAGTTAGGAACATAATATAACGTAAATAAATAAAAATATAATATAAAAAATAAATAAAAATACATACATAACATAACGGTAACAAAGTTAGGAAATCATAGATAGAATAATAACAGTAACAGAGAACTATGAAATAAATAATAACGGTAACAAAGTAGAGACCAATGAAATAAGGTAACATAAGAAATGAAAAATGAATTATCAACGAAATATAATGGAATATATGAGATGAAAAACGTAAGTATAGACATAAAATAAACGGGGTGACGTAGTTGCTAAAATATGATGTATTAAAATTATTATTATTCTGTGTTCAAAGGATTGTGTTACTTGGTATGTGTGCGTTATTATTTTCTAATTTTGGCATTCGAATATCCTTTTTTTTTTTCTAAAAATTTCAGAGTTTGTTTTGTATCGGTTATACCGAAATATATATATTGTATAATAGTGTTATAGTATATGCTGGTATAGTAGTATTGTATATGATGAGAGAGAGATATGGAAAAGGGGTAAAGAATTTGTATATATATATATATATATATATATATATATATATATATATATATATATATATATATGTGTGATTCAAGTATAACTAAGTCCTATGTACAAAAAAAAAAAAAGGATTGATGAGTTGCTGTGAATCGAACAACTCTATATGGTAGGGCAGCACTGCTTTAAATAAAGTATTTCTCTCTCTTTACATATTATTATTATATTTTTAATGTTAATAGTTTCTCATACCAATTATTATCTAGTTTTGTTTCATCGCCCTGCTGAAGTCCTCAAGTTTGGGCCGAAATGTCGGCAAAATAAAAATAAATATAATTTATTTATTTTTACATTTTTTGACTGAACACCCAACCTAATCTTCTTTTCAATTATTCACTACAGTCAACCATCTATCCACTATCATTGTCACACTTTCGTAGGAAATTTAGAATTAATTGTTCTTGTCAATCCACATAGTTATAGTTTAATTCAGTATATAATATACTATTTTCGTCTGTTCTTCATCTTTTTTACGGCGGTTTACTACCATTATAGTTTTGATTCGGATTCTTTTGAATTAACATTCATATAAAAAACAATACATATAAAAACAATTGATAATACAGAGGGCAGAACTGAAGAAAATTCTGCCTTCTAGAGAATCCAGATAATGATTGTTATAAGAACGTAAAAGGTTGGAGAAGGAGTGGTGGAGTGACGAGAGGGAGCCGCAGGGGTCGAAGTTCGTTCAATTAAACATGAGGCCCCTAAGCCACCGGATCACAAGAGCCAACCTAATAAACGTTGAGGATAACTGTAGAGATATAGAGTATACCATAATATAGAGTGTAGAGTCTGCATTATCGTCTTATCCACCAACGCCCTCTATATTCAATTCACCTCCCCACTGGAGGGGACTTCATTCACAATTCATTAAATATTTCACCCTTCGCAGGGAGCGTGCCACTAGTTGCTCTTCAATCTGTAGTTTCTCATTCTATATTCCACATTACGTGGTCTCATAGAAAAATAGGAAGATAACAGAAATAGAAGGTATGACACAAGCAAATGTTCAGGTAGATTGTATACTTGATCGTTGACCGTTGTTTGAATAAATAAATTTTAAAAAAAATAATAATAATATATTTCTGTAACGTCATCATCCGCTTACGATCATACAGAATTTAAGGTTTTTCTAATTTGCCAATTATAGGGGATAAGCTTTTTTGTACAATCTACATGTACTTAAGTCATGATCTCCAAGTATTTGCTACTTCTCAAAAAACTAGTATCCACTAGTATATAGTATATCCATAATATTTACTATGGAGTTCTGCTTCACAGCATGTTTCCTTAAAAATGGGCTTACATTTGAAGGTAATTATTAACCCCTCAACACTACCTAAACATTTTATAGGAAGGAGATGGTCCGCGGTTGTTGAGTTTGACTTGAAATAAATATTTTTTTTCACTATTTTGCTATTTATATGACCGTACCCCGGACCATCTCCTTCCTTTAAAATGTTCAGGTATTGTTGAGTGGTTAATACTTACCATCAACTGTAAATCCACTTTCAAGGTAACATACTCTGAAGCAGAAGATTAGTATTATGGTTGTTTTTTGAGAAGTAGCAACTCTATGATCGTAAGCGGGTGATGACGTTACAGAAATCTATAATTATTATTTTTTTTTTTAGCTTATTTATTGAAAAATAGTACAATTTTTCACAATCTATTACATTTATAATAGTATTCAGAGAGCACATTCACACTCTATTTACAATAAATAATACAGAAAAATAGTAAATACTAAATACTATTAGTATGAATACATCAAGTAAATTTGTACAGAGAATTATTATTACATGAAACACGCTTGTTGAGAAACTACCCACTGGTAGCACTCTAATAATTTGTCTACATGAGAAGATCACGAGGCCATCAAGAGGATTATCAGGAATCGAAGAGGAAGCAAGGTTAGAAACAAGAGGATTCGGATGGTTATGAAGTTTATTATGGAAGGAGAGGTATCTGGATTTGGCCAAATCGGAAACATATGGAACATTGAGGTCTTTATGGATTATTTTATTAGTGACAAAGTAAGGAGCATTGAGGATTTTACGAAGGATTTTGGATTGTAAGGATTGGATGCGAGAGGAATTGGATGGTTTAGTGGAGCCCCATAGCTCAACTCCGTAAGTCCAAATAGGTCTTATTATAGTCAAGTATATGAGTCTTTTGTAATTAAGGGGAAGTTTAGAGCGTTTGTCTAGTAAGTGTTGGAGTAGTCGGAAACGTCGTGCGGTTTCTTGTCGTTTCAGTCTGGTATGAGGAATCCAAGTTAGACGTTTGTCCAAATGAAGTCCAAGGTATCGGATTTGTTCAACAGGGATAAGTGGGGTATTATTAAAGGATACTGTGGGACATGAGGTCATAGGTTTACGTCGAAGGGTAAAGGTGATTTGATGGGATTTATTAGAATTTATTTTAATCCTCCAGTTTTGACACCATTCTTCAAGGCTTGTGATGTGTGATTGAAGAGTTTGGGATGCAATGGTTGGTTCATTATTAACGGATAGGACACATGTATCATCGGCATACGTGGTAATAACAGTGTTAGGATGGGTTGGGATGTCAACTGTATAAACTGTGTAAAGGATAGGACCAAGGATACAAAAGAAGGCAGACTACGGTGGCGTGTAGGGCCGAGTAATGGAAGTGACGAAATTACAGAGGGAGAGTACTCCAATTTGGAAACAGCCGCGGTGATTCGAGGAGCCCAGAAGCGGATCTCTACCGAGAGCCAAGTCATCGGGAAGTTCCGCTCTGGCTACTAGAAACCACGTGATAACACTATACTGAGCAGATCTGCACTAAATCAATGTACTAAATACTAAAAGTAAATGTATGTTATCAAAAGAACTAAACTAATCAAAATAACGACTTAAACACGAGCATAAAATTTATAAAATATTTACAAAATCCATTCACTCAGGAGAACTCCGAGCCAAACTTTTCTCCACACTTGTGGAAGAAAGGCAGGACTCCAGGAGATCCTAGCGTCTCTCACTCATCCGCATTACTGGTATTAAGCACCAGTAGAGGCGCTATAATCATTTTATGGTTCATAAAGAAATTATGGTAAGGAAGCGGTGTAGAAATTGCAGTTACACAGAAAAAAAAAATTATTTTTCACCAACGTTTCGGCCTTAAGGTAACAACAAAATATATTAGCAAGAAAATAACAAGATATGAACCTTATTTTGATTCTGTTTACTTCATTAGTGTGTACTTTTCAGTCGTTATTATTATTTATTTCTTACTTTTTATTATTTTTACTATTCTACCTACTTTAATGTTCACTTGTCTACTTCATTTTACATTAAGTTTTTCTACCTACATTGTTTATGTTTCTCATACCTATTGTTATCTGGTTCTTTTCTCAGACTTGATAAAGGCATGAACTTGGAGGTTCGAAACGTCGGCAAGTGTAAAAATAAATATTATTATTTATTTTTGCCATTTTTTATTTTGACTGATCACCCCAACCATCCACCTCAATTATTCACTACAGTCAACCATCAACCCGCAATTATGAATCATACTTTAGATGGGGTTCCAATTTGGTAGAAACTTTCTAACCAGGGAACAATGAAAATGTACAATTTTTATCATTCTACTTTCAGTATCAATTGTTTTAAGAAGAGAAAAGCAACAAAATTTCTAGAGGAGAGGTCTGAACCATCGCCCTTGAGGTAATGGGTATCCTTGAAAACATCAAAAAAATAATTAAACTGCAGGTTTTTATAACGTCAATACCTTGGAGAGATTGAGGATACTTTATTTATTTATTATCTTCCCCTTACCGGCTTAATATATATCGTAAATATATATCTATCGATTAAACTTGTACGTATTCATATAATTACACCAGAATGAATGAAGTTAGAGAATCTATTACTAAAACTGTTTCCGACTAAACTGTAGCTAGTTTGTATCCAGCAGAACAATAAACCTCTCATGCCTTAAGAGAATGAAATTATGAAACAGCTCAATTTTCGGAAAAACTAAAAAAATATTTTCTACTCCATAAACCAAAAATATTTAGTGCACAGAATCGCCATATTTTGTATTAATTATTCGTATTTATAATTTATTAACTTTTTTTTTTTATACTGTTTACAGAGCAAATAACTTATGTGGATATCATGGATAGCAAATCTGTTTTTTTGGATTTGCCGTCAACTTGATAAGAATTTTAAATATTACTGCGAAGTCCTGCGAATTATGTTTTTTCTAGTTTCGTTTGGTCGGTTTAACAGGATTTCGATGATATTCGTACGCCATTCTCGCAAGATGCCTTAGTCTCCATTCCAAATCCACTCTAGGCAGTTTTGTTCTATATAATTTTTTTTTTCGCTTCTATTTTCTTAATACATTTTATTTTCATATTTAATTTTTTATACCGTCTGTTTGGGAACACAAAACTCCAATAAGTATCAACAAATAGGCATTTCATTTCAAACCAGAATCTATTTATAATTGTGGGTAAATGGTTGACTGTCGTGAATAATGAAGAGAAGAACGGTTGAGGCGATCAGTCAGAAATCAGAAGGCAAAAATAAATGATAATATTTATGTTGACATTTGCCGACGTTTCGAACCTCCAAGTTCATGCCTTCATCAGGGCTGCTCCCAAAGAGGTTGTTGGAGAAGTCGACTTCTCCAACAACCTTTTTGGGAGCTGATAATAAATATTTTTTTTTTTTTTTTTTATATTTGTTTATTTAGAAATATTACATTCTGTCACATCAAGGACATTTATAATAGTGTTCAGAGAAAGCACACTCACACTCTATTTACAATAAAAAAAAAATAATAATACAGAAACTTAATAATAATAAATACAATAAAATAAAATAAAAATAAATACAATAAAATAAAATAAATGTATATAAACAAAAGAACTAACCTAATCATACACACTCGGGCTTGAGTGGAGGATCTGGCCATTGCCAAAACTCCAATAGATGCTTATTTACAAAAGGTCTCTGGACCACTGCCGCTTCAACCTTCGAGGAGGAATGTAAGGATGGGTGGTGCTGGATAGAGATTGTGCAAGGGGATTTGGATGATAGGTAAGGTTCTGGTGAAATTTGGAGAATTTTTCTGGAATAAGTTCTAGGACAAATGGGATATTAAGGTCATGGTGTAGGATTTTGTTATTTACATAGAACGGAGCATCAACTATTGTTCGAAGGACTTTAGATTGAAAGGATTGAATATGTTAGAAGCTTTTGCTGTCCCCCACAGTTCAAGTCCGTATGTCCATATAGGTTTCAGTATTGTCTTGTAGATAAGTAATTTGTTTTCAATAGAAAGTTTGGATTTTCTGTTTAGTAGTCTGTATAGCTGGCCGTATCGTCGGTATATTATCATTTATTTTTGCCTTCTTATTTCGGACTGATCACCCCAACCAATCTTCACTTCAGATCGATTTAATTTAAAACCCTTTAAGTCATCTATTCTTGCCGTAAGAAATAAGTAGATAGATATAAGCCTATATTATATATTATACATGCTGATTATTATAAACAAAACGACAACATCGATTAGAGGTATGAATATTACCGACCGATGGAGTCAGTCCTGAGGGGGGAGGAGGGGCGGCCGGCGAGGTGCGCGAGGTGGGCGGCGAGGAGGCGCCCGGAGCGGGGCGACCCCGCCAGCCGTGCCAGCGCCCCCGGCTCCAGCTCCAGCAGCTGCCGCCCGCGCCGCGGGAACCTGTCGGCCACCGGGGGAGGCCGCAGCCGCAGCTCACGGGTGATCCACGACAGCCAGTTCTCCACGTCCTCTCGCTCCCAGACAGCGGGGTCTGCAACATAACATACTAATTAACATATTATTAACTTTATAAATTAATTAACATAACATAATAATTAACATATTATTAACTTTATAAATTAATTAACATAAAATAATAATTAACATATTATTAACTTTATAAATTAATTAACATAAATAATAATTAACATATTATTAACTTTATAAATTAATTAACATAAAATAATAATTAACATATTAACTTTATAAATTAATTAACATAAATAATAATTAATATTGGTTCCAAGCCCCTTCTTAGATCCCACACCTACTCTCCTTCACTCTATCTAAACAACCACCCCATCACCTTCTTCCCCCTTTGTTAGGCTTTTAAGGCTTTTAGACCATATCTCTCATATCTCCCGTCGTGCAATTTCTACTGTCAAACTATTCCATCACTTCCGCCATCTTCTACCCCATAATACCCGTACACTCCTAGTTTCCGCTCTCATCTTTCTCCACTTTGACTACAGCTGTGTTTTGTACGATGGCCTCTCGGTGGAACTCCGTGATAGACTAAAAAGACTTATGAATTGCTTCGTAAGATTTGTAATTGGGATCCCGAGACGCTCCCGTGTCTCTCACCACTACAGTGAGTTAGGGTGGCTCTTCCCCTCCTTGAGAAGACAATATTTTCTAGGCACTCCTTTATCAAATCATTACCGATCATCGTCCTTCTTATGCCTACAACCTTCTCCAATTTAAGTCCTCAATCCATTCCCTCACTACAAGATCTCGAACTTTACATCCCTTCTCATAGATCTGCCTCATACCAAAATTCCTTTATAGCCCGCTCTGTCAACTTTTCATCAATCAAAATTTGTCATGCCCCCTCCCTATACACATTCAAAAACCTACTATTCCAATTCCTGTTCCAAAAACAGTCAGATACCAGCTAACTATTAATACTATATATGTATTGTGTAGCAATCATATAATCATATGATAATACTTGGTAAGAGATAGTACATGCATTTCCTACTATCTAAGTAGGAATTTCTATACATACATTTTTTTATTATTTTATATATATATATGCAAGTAAAGTTTTTTTATGAAATGAACTTATTCTATCTCTTTTTCGTTCTTCATTTCTCAAAGTGTATGTTTATGTTGTTGAACCCTTATATATAGTTTTGTTCACAGTTTCAAGTGATTCGTTCATAGCTTTAAGTGATTTGTTCATAGTTTTAAATACTCTGTACATAGTTTTATCTGTATTGTATATAGTTTATTTACCTAAGATTTTCTTTACTTTTTAGTTTATTTTATCAATTTTATTTATTGTTTCAAACTTTTAGGCCAGTAATATTCTATTCTTTTGTACAATTTTGTTATTCTGAAGGCACTTAGTCCCAGAATAAAGTGTTTTTTTTCTGTCTATCTATTAAAGGAATCACCATAATACAAATTTAATTCACGATATGGTAACACAGGAAAACGTTCAAGGTGATTGGAAATGTATTCAGAAGCAAGATTTCCTCGTATATCACCGATACAATTGCTAACTATCGAATATCAAAATAAGAACAATTTTCACTCTAATGATTGCAATTGGAATTAAATATTTTTAAAGTGCAATTAAATTTTTTAAACATTCATAAAATCACAGATTAGTGTGGAAATTAAAACCACCTCATTGTTTGGACTAAATTGATAATGGTATTAGAGTGGTGATTTTCGTGTGGCTAGGAAAAAGACTCAGTCGATGGAGAAAATTGTATTCAGGGGATTTTTCGTAATAGCAACTACAACTAAGCATGAAAAAAAAAAAGTCAATATAGATATAAATATCATTACAATATAATCCTAATTACATATTCACATTTTCTGAGCTGAAGGTTATACCAAATAGTAATATATTCTATTCGTGAATGAAGTAAATGATTAATGAAGATGGTTGAATGGAAAGTCCTCCTCAGTACTTCAATATCAGTATTACTAGCTATGTATACATTACATTACATAGCAAGTAAGATCTATCGCTGAGTTAACACGCGTCCTTAAATTTAATAGGATTATTAAAATCCTTCGATAATCCTATAATTATTTCTGAATCTAACTATACATATGTTTTTTTTTTAATTTTTATTTTAAATATTTATTTGCACCTGCCAACTTGTCAACAATCAGGAAATGTGCTGAATTACAAGAAATAATGACATGTCAGGCTTGGGGAAAGACAGTACTCAGCAGCACCTCTTCCCTGACTTGTTTCAATACTTCAAAAAGTATACCATACCTTCAACACCATATTGTATCTTAATTGTGAAGAAACCCGCTAAATTAAAATAAATTGATATATAATAAAAAAGTTTTAATATCTATCGATTGTATTTTTTTTTAAATTAATATCAATATTATTAAAAATACCTAAATCCAAAAAGTTAAAATAAATCAATAACTAAATATGCAATTTTAAAATTGATTGTATCATCAATAAATATCCTTTGAATAATCGATATAATGACGGACCTTAAAATGGAAGAAATCAGCTAATTTAAAATAAATCCATATATATATATAAGAGCGGAAATTCAAGTTCGATAAACGCTGGGCAGATTAATATCCCTTACTTTAACATGTTGCCAACGTTAGGTACAAGAAATAATCGTTATCTGATACCGTATGCGAGTACCGAATACAATTATAATCGTTATTCATGAATACTTTTGCAAAAAGTATTCTATATTTGCAATTATGAATACAACTCTGTTTGATGATATAATCTTTACTTCCCTGTCTTCGCTCTTAGATCTCTATTAGTGTTGTCCAAATGCTAGACGAGTCTTGGTCTTACAAATTCAGTCTTGGTCGTGGTCTTGGTTTTGGGCAAGAGTTTCGCAACATTCTTTCAGTTACTTATTAGCTTATTACTATGGCTATAGGAGAATTTTTTAGATAGGATAAACCTAACTAAGGCCGAATGAAAAATTAGAGGAATTAAATGCAAAAGTATATTGGTTATACCAATTATTAACATACAGTAACTAAGATTGTCAAGTATTAGGAACTATTTTGCCTTAATTTCTATTTAGAAAATCGATTTTTTTTACCAGTCCTGGTGTTGGTCTTGCAACAGTTAGGCGGCCTTGGTCTTGGTCTTGCAAAGTGCAAGACCAAGACCTATTTTGGACAACACTAATCTCTATATTTTATACTACAATATAAAAGAAACATACAAAAAAAAAAAAATCAAACGCACATTTCATTTTCCGTGATGCTACTTCTGATTCTTTTTTCAGCAGTATAAATTATCAGTTGATTCATTTTCCTCAGATGCATAAATGTATGCAGAAATATCATGGTTTATATAAATATATTAAGCTAGCTAATTTTCTTTAATTATTGTAAATAAGAAAAACTCCAACGCGATGGAGATGTATAAGTATAAACGGTTACTTAATATTACAGGTTAGCAAATGACAGCTGACTACAACAATGTGGCTTTGAATTGATGAATTTAAGACTCCCATTATGTCCCGATGGTGTTGCTCAAATCTGACCAAACAAAGAAGTTAGACAATAACAAATTACTGGATTTTAAGACCGTTCCAGAAATGTGGGTCATGTGCACTTAACATCGGACATAAAGGATTGTCATGCCTTATGTGTGATATAAAGGAAGCCTCCATCACTATAATTATATACCTCCTTAATTACCCGTATTAACGGTTTTCGTTTGTATCCCACGCGATGTGCTAAGGTATTGTGGTAGGTCAGATAGTCATTGTCCACTTCGACCGTTGGAGTAAGTTAGCATTGGCGAAGTGAAGTGCGACAATGGAGGGTCCTTGAAGTGGGTACGATCTGGAAGGAGGATAATGAAGGGGTGGTGGACCAACAACGAGGTTCAAGGAACACGGTGGCGCTCCCTTTCATCTGTGACCTCTTTGGCGGTGGTCTATCCTCGATCCCCTGATCATCTAAGGAACGGCTCATTACCCACCGCCTCTTGTCTATTTCGGCCGCCTAATCGCCTTCTCAGAATTCTGTTATACGATTAAATAGAATCTACCGCAAATATCCCTAACAACTTTTTTTTTTTGGTTTTCGGAAATCAAAGATTATAGGAAAGGTCGAATAATAGCTAACAGTTAACGAATCGCAGACAGTGAAGACTTTATAAATGGAACTTTTATTAATATGTTCCTGGCCTCGCGTTTCTACGGCGAGTAAGGGGTTCCAGGAATCGCATTTATTTGTATTTATATGTATTTATATCGGTCCCAGAAGGGAACCGATCAACTTAAAATATATTAATGATGTATTTAAATGTTAGATACCACAGACCCCCTACTGTAGTATCCTAGATTGAACCATATACTCTTTATTGGATTTCCTTTCTAAAGGTATCATGTTTATAAATTTACTATTTGTTTCTATTACTAATTGGTGGCATGCAAGGTAGAATGTAAAAGTACTACGTTGGTTTACTAACTATTATATTTACAAGTTTAAATAAAACCAAAAACATCTATATACAAAATAATAACTAAACCTATATACATAATGAATAGTTGCGAATCATACGAGAGGAGAATGCTTGTATTTGATTAAAGTTACGTGTTATATTGATTATATTAATTAATGATGTATGGTTGCCAACACAAATTTACATTAGTATGACTAAATGCTTGTTACCACTTAGCTGGTCCTTCATAGTGTTTCTAGCCGTCATATCTGGATTCCCTGTCTCTGCTCTCCTTCAGCGTCTAGTCCGTCCATCTGCTCTCTCCGGCTGTCTTCGTCTTCCTCCCTCGACTCCCCGCTTGAAGTCCCAGAAGCAAGTCCTCTCAGCTCCAAGTTCCCAGAAGAAGTCCTCTCTCCTCCGAGTTCCAAAAAGAAGTGTCCAGTCCAAATTCTCTATCTCCCACCTTTTTTCATCCCCCTCTCTTTTGGCAGCCTTTTTCCTGATTGGTTGAATATTCTCAGCCTAAGGGATGACCACGCCCTCTCCCCAGGCCAAGGTAAAGCAGCAGGTACAGACTT